ATCCTTATTTGCTATGAGACAAAGAATTGCCTTTTCCTCATCACTTTCAGATCCATTTGAGTCGTCATCTTCCCAAGTGGCTTGCATTGCTCTTCTCTTTTTCTTTTCCTCTTTGTAGGCATGACAATCAGCTTTAAAGTGTCCCAGTTTTTCACAGTGAAAACAGGTAGAGGTATCACGTTTGTATTGCTCATTAGATGATTCTCCCTTTTTGAACCTTCCCTTGTTGAATTTCTTTCTAAGAAGAAATTTTTTGAAGGATTGAGTGATGAGAGCTAGATCATCGTCTTCCTTTCGTTGCCGACAACTTCCTTTTCTCTTGAAGATACTTTGAGAGCAATTTCCTTCTTTCGATGATGATCTCCTTCTCTATCTTTTAGAGTGATTTCCCATATGAGAAGAGAGCCAAGAAGTTCATCCAACTCAAGTGTGTTGAGATTGTGAGCTTCTTTGATTGCCGTTTCTTTTACATCCCATTTTTCGGGTAGGCTTCTTAGAATTTTCCTTGCAAGATCAGAGTTAGTCATAGTTCTGCCAAGATGTTTTAATCCATTTATGATGTTAGTAAATCTCACAAACATTGCACTAATAGTCTCATCTTCATTCATACGAAACAATTCATATTGATGCATAAGAATGTCAGTTTTAGATTCCTTGACCTGTAAGGTTCCTTCATAAGTAATCTGAAGTTTATCCCAGATTTCTTTAGCTGTGGTGCAAGTAGAGACTCTATTATATTCACTAGGACTTATAGCACAATTCAGATTGACTTTGGCCTTGGCATTCAAGGAGATAACTTTATAGTCCTCTGTATTCCATTCAGCTTCAGTTTTAGGGACCCTTTCAGCACCAAATCCTTTTATTGGAACAAAGGGTCCATTAACAATAACCAACCAGATTTGATAGTCTATGGATTGGAGAAAATCTATCATTCTATTTTTCCAATAGCCATAATTTGTACCATTGAACCAAGGGGGTCTAGTGTTAGACTGACCTTCTTGAAGAAGGTGACCATTTAAGTTTGCCATGATCGATCTCTAAAGCACTTAAGCTTTTCAAATAGAGAACTAGCTCTGATACCAATTTTTGTCCAGGTTTAGACTCTAGAAGGGGGGAGGGGTGAATAGAGTCTATGCAAACTATTGTCAATTTTTCAACAATTAAAATTAATTAAAGACAAATCCAATTTCTTTGACAGATAATGAATAATGTAATCTGAATTCTAGGCTTCAATAATCAGCATAAATGAAGAGGCATATCAAGACATACATAAAGCAATAAGTATAGAGATAGGTTAGAAGTTGCAAACATGTACTCAGTGTTTTTTAGCGAGGTTCGGAAACTCCTACTCCTCGGTTCAAGACCCCTTGAGACTTCCCAATCCACTATGGCTTCTCCTTACGGGTGGAGAGCAAACCTCTTACAAGAAGCTCTTCCTAGCTTCTAAGTACTAAGAGAAACACCTTCTCTTAGTCTTCCTTGGGCCACACCAGCCCTTACCAGTTTTGAAGAATATAGATGGAATACAAGATGATCTCTCTCTCAGATCTGAAGTACAAGATTTAGCTCACTCTAGGGTATGTATGAATAACTTGAAGCTCAATACTCTTTTGATGAAATAAAGTGTATGTGTATGATTAAAGCTTTATGATTACAAGGCTTTCTTTCTCAATGTCTGCAATAACTTTAAATGAAGTTCTAAAGTGTTCTTATAGACTTTCAGACATGTTTGATAAAGTTATAGCTGTTGAACACGCATCCCAAGAATAAAATGCCCATTTGAATTTTGAAAAACGCAGCTTTGGTCGACCGAAATGAAACACCTTTGTGTTTCGGCCGACCGAAATGGTTTGAGGTTGGACATCATACTCTAAGTACTCTTGTTTTGGTAGATCGAAGTAAAGCCTCATTTTGTTTCGGTTGACCGAAATGGTTTGAGCTTTAATATCATTCTCTCAGTACTCCTGTTTCGGTAGACCGAAGTAAAGCCTCGTTTTGTTTCGGTCGACCAAAATGGTTCAAGCTTGAATATCATGCTCTCAGTACTCCTATTTCGATAGACCGAAGTAAGGCCTTGTTTTGTTTCGGTCGACCGAAATGGTTCAAGCTTGAATAGCATACTCTCATTACTCTAGGTTCGATAGACTGATGCATAAGAGCTTCCTATTTCGGTAGACCGAAATGGACTTATATTTTCAGATCAGGATATACTTGAGTCCTTTGTTCCTTAGTCATGATGAATGAGATGATATGCATGATGTTGGAGAGATTGAGCTTCAAGATGTTCATATACACTTTAACAAAGCATCCTAAGAAACTCACCAACCTAGCTAGCCCCATCTTGATGTCTTGTGATGACTTGATTTTGACTGCTTAGTCCTTTGGTCATGCCTTGGTGTTGCTTCTACAGTTTTATCCTTGTGTTGTAGTGCTTGTTTTGATAAATGCTTTGCTCTGTAATTTCACTCAAGAAGACATTAGTAATCATAGAACATCATTAATGAATTATTATCATCAAAAACCTTTGATTCAAGGTCAACAGTTCCTTTAAGAACCCATTTCTTTATGAACTTAGGCTTTCTCTTTGAGCATTCTTGAATAACATGACCTATTCTTTTACAATAATTACAACTAGAATTTTTTGTTCTTGCTTCTAACAAAGTAGTTAGCTAAAGACTTTCTCTTATTCAATAAACATGCTTTCTTGTTGAAGGGGTCATATCCTAATCCGTTTTTATAAAAGACACTTCTTTGAGCGCCTAACATAAGTTCTAAATTTTTGTACCTTGAGTAAACTTAGCTAGACCATCGATTTGATCTTCAATGATTAACTTCAAGGATGCATTTTCAGAAATAAGTTCAGGTGATCCTGTTTCTTTAAGCAAGATGCATTCATTTTTCAAGTGCTCATTTTTATTTTGAAGAGTTTGAAATTTATTTTCAATGATAAGTTTTTCTCTTCTTTGAGAAGCACATTTTTTGACCATTTTACCTAGTTCATCATGCAATTCTTTAAAACCATCAAGTAATCCATTATATGCATCAACTAATTCATCATAGGACAGTTCACTTTCAGAGGAAGAATCAGAATTAGAGTTTACCTCATCCCTACTAGCCATGAGACAAAGGATAGCCTTTTCCTCATCGCTTTCGGATCCATTTGAGTCGTCATCTTCCCAAGGGGCTTGCATTGCTCTTCTCTTTTTCTTTTCCTCTTTGTAGGCATGACAATCAGCTTTAAAGTGTCCAGGTTTTCCACAGTGAAAACAGGTGGAAGTGTCACGTTTGCCTTGCTCATTAGATGATTCTTCTTTTTTGAATCTTCCCTTGCTGAATTTCTTTCTTTGAAGAAATCTCTTGAAGGATTGAGTGATAAGAGCTAGATCATTGTCTTCACTTTCGTTGCCGGTAACTTCCTTTTCTCTTGAAGAGACTTTGAGAGCAATTTCTTTCTTTCGATGATGATCTTCTTCTCTATCTTTTAGAGTGATTTCCCATGTGAGAAGGGAGTCGAGAAGTTCATCTAGCTCAAGTGTGTTGAGATTGTGAGCTTCCTTGATTGCCGTTGCTTTTGCATCCCAATTTTCGGGTAAGCTTCTTAGAATTTTCCTTGCAAGATCAGAGTTAGTCATAGTTCTGCCAAGATGTTTCAAGCCATTAATGATGTCAGTAAATCTCACAAACATTGCACTAATAGACTCATTTTCATTCATACGAAACAATTCATATTGATGCATAAGAATGTCAATTTTTGATTCTTTGACCTGTGAGGTTCCTTCATAAGTAACTTGAAGTTTATCCCAGATTTCTTTAGCTGTGGTACAGGTAGAGACTCTATTATATTCACTAGGACTTATAACACAATTTAGATTTACTTTGGCCTTGGCATTCAAGGAGATAAGTTTATAATCCTCGGTGTTCCATTCATCTTCCGTCTTAGGGACCCTTTCAGCACCAAATCCTTTCATAGGAACAAAGGGTCCATTAACAATAACCAACAAGATTTGATAGTCTATGGATTGGAGGAAATCTATCATTCTACTTTTCCAATAGCCATAATATGTTCTATCAAACCAAGGAGGTCTAGTATTGGACTGACCTTCTTGAAGAAGATGACCATTTAAGTTTGTCATGATCGATCTCTATAACACTTAAGCTTTTTCAATAGAGACCTCGCTCTGATACCAATTGTTGCCCAAGTATAGACTCTAGAGGGGGGGGGGGGGGGGGGTGAATAGAGTCTAAGCAAACTACGGTCAATTTTCTAATTTTAATATATATATATATATATATATATATATATATATATACTTAGTTAGAGAAAAAGAGAGGTTTACATTTTAGGATCTTTTGGTCATTTAAAATGAGTGTCTTTGGGGTAGTTAAGTCATTTTATACATGAAACAAAATCATCACAAAGTTAAAAGGATAATATTGTCATTTTACATATAAAAAAGTGCTCGATAAATGACTTTTTGATGTGTGAGTAAAATACAGATCAAGTCTTTAAAATATGAGTACAAGTTAAAACCAAAATGTCTATTTATGTAAGATTTGACCTAATCTTGAAAGGGGTAATAGTGTAATTTACCATTAAATTAAAGACAATAAGATTTTTATAAAGAAAAAAAAAATCTAAAAAAAATGATAAGAAATAATAAAATAAAATAAGTTTCCCATGAAAATATTACACCTTCTTCTAAAACAACGACGAATTAGGTTTTTGTTGACAATTGACAGCAACATATCATGAAAATTGGTCATTCGGGTTTGGGCTTATAGAAAATGGCCATTGGAGGGAGGAAAGCTACCACCACGACGTCGTTCCTGTTCGTACAATGTGTGAACAATTGCTCTCTATCCTTCAAATTATTCACCGATAATATGTGTACTAAAAGATTTGACTTTTTGGAACGTTGGACAAATAGATAGGATGTGAGGCCAACTACCTCTTCCGTCCACACACACCCCACACCTACCCCCTCAGCAGTCCAAAACAACCCTTTCATCATATCAGATACATACATGCTAATATAATCAATTGTATGTATCAAATGTCGGAATCATTCCAAGTCATGATTAAGTCATCACCACCCATTGCTGTTTTCACATTAAATATATAATCATTCTATTCCGCGGATAGAGACAAAAAGAGAGAAATGGAGTCCCCACCACCACCATCACCACCATCATCAACGCCATTGAAAACGGAGCTTTTGGATGCTCCCCTGAATGCAATTGGCTTTCAGATTGAACACCTGTAACCGGAGAAAGTCTCCGGTCGCCTTCATGTCACCCACAACTGCTGTCAGGTAAAAGGGTATTTTGAAGAATTTCTGACAACAATATCTTTGGATTCCAAGTTCTAACAATTAGGTAACGATTGAATTCCTCAGCCGTTCAAGGTTTTGCACGGAGGAGTGTCGGCGTTGATAGCGGAGTCACTGGCGAGCATTGGGGCTCACAGGGCCTCCGGGCTGAGGAGGGTCGCTGGAATTCACCTCAGCATCAATCACTTGAAGAGCGCCACCCTCGGCGACCTTGTACTAACTGAAGCCACCCCACTCAACGTTGGCAAAACAATCCAGGTCCCTTAATTATTAATTCACCTCATGACTATCATGCATAGCTAGCTATATGTGTTGTTATTCCATTTTATATATCACTTCAATATTTCATATACTAAGATGATGAATTAATTTGAAAACAACAAAAGCAGTAGTAACCATTCATGATGTATAGGGATGCTTCTACCTACTTCCCAAATTAATTTGTAACTAATTATATCCTAAAATATGTTTCACTTTTTGTAATTTATATTTCCATGTATATTGAAATAATTGATGAGCATGGATTTAAATGGGAATGGCTTAACAAAGAAGGTCAACTGTTGACAGTTTGAGACAGACTCTGCATAAACAAAGATCCAACAAAAGCTTCTTATTTGCCTGAGTCCCCTTTCTCAATGATTATGATTTAAACCCTAAATCCTAAACCCTAAACCTTGTTTTAAAATCTGTCCTCCATGTGCCTAACCTTTCATGCAATCTTTTATCAGTTAGTAAACTCATCAAGGATTCTAACTGTGTTGTCAAATTTCTTGATTCTCATTGTGAATTACAGTCCTCTACTGATGCATCATCTTCTCCTCAGGTTTAGGCTGAGCATATACCATCTCCATCATTGCCACCAGCTCAGCCAGCTCAGGACTTAGACCGACCAGGTATTCTAGGACCTTTATTTGTCTCCAGTTGCAGGAAAAGGTTCTAGTTGTCTCAAAAAACCTTGTTTTAAAATCTGTCCTCCATGTGCCTAACCTTTCACGCAATCTTTTATCAGTTAGTAAACTCATCAAGGATTCTAACTATGTTGTCAAATTTCTTGATTCTCACTGTGAATTATAGTCCTCTACTGATGCATCATCTTCTCCTCAGGTTTAGGCTGAGCATATACCATCTCCATCACTGCCACCAGCTCAGCCAGCTCAGGACTTAGACCGACCAAGTATTTTAGGACCTTTATCTATCTTATTTTTCCGCTTTAGATTGATTTTGCATTATTTCCATTTTCAGGCACTTATTCACAAAATAAGCTAACTCAGCCAAATAAGAGCAGAATTGAAGTAATCTTGAGATGAATCAAAGAAAGGAGCAAAGTGGGAGCAAAATGAAGCAAGTGGTGGAAATTCAGCAAGTTCGATCGATCAGGGAATCTCTTCCATCGATGCCCAAAAAGGTAGCTCTTTAAGTGCTCTCACTAGTTCTTTAAATCCGGCACCTTGGATCATTGATTCTGGTGCATCTGATCATATGACTAGTTTATCACATTTGTTTAGTACATATTTTCCAAGTTCTGGTCACTTAAAAATTCGTATTGCTGATGGTAGTTTGTCTCCAGTTGCAGGAAAAGGTTCTAGTTGTCTTAGAAAACCTTGTTTTAAAATCTGTCCTCCATGTGCCTAACCTTTCATGCAATCTTTTATCAGTTAGTAAACTCATCAAGGATTCTAACTGTGTTGTCAAATTTCTTGATTCTCACTGTGAATTTCAAGACCTATATTCGGGGAAGATGATTGGCAGTTCTAGGATTGTTGATGGACTCTATTATTTTGATAATGAAATCTTCAAGAGTGGACAAGCTCAAGCTGCAAGTAGTAGTGATATTTCTATTTCTATTAAAAGTCAAATAATGTTATGGCACTATAGGTTAGGCCTTCCTAGTTTATCTTACTTAAAACATTTGTTTCCATCCCTGTTCAAAAATTTAAATCCTTTGTTATTTCAATGTGAATCTTGTCAATTATCAAAGCATCATCGTGTTTCTTATCCTTCTCATTTATATCAAGCATCCAAATCATTTTATTTGATTCATAGTGATGTGTGGGGGCCTTCTCAGGTTACTACTGTGACTGGAACTAGGTGGTTCATCACTTTCATTGATGACCATACTAGAGTGTGTTGGGTATATCTTTTGAGAGAAAAATCTGAGGCTACGAGAGTGTTTAAAGAGTTTATGCCATGATTGAAAACCAGTTTCAAACCCGGATTCAAGTATTTAGAACCGACAATGGAAAAGAATTCTTTAACTCTATTCTTGGTGATTTTTTGAAAGAAATGGGTATTTTCCATCAGTCCACTTGCTTTGATATCCCATAGCAAAACGGGATAGCTGAGAGGAAAAACCACCATTTACTTGAGGTTGCTAGAGCAATAATGTTCAATATGGGGGTTCCTAAATATCTATGGGGTGAGGCTGTTCTTTCAGCTTCATACTTGATTAACAGAATGCCAACTAGAGTGTTGAAATTTGAGATGCCCCTAAACAACTTGCTGTCAGTTTTTCCCCATATTAGGATCTTCACCTCATTACCTCTTAAAGTGTTTGGATGCACTTCTTTTGTACATGTTCATACACGGGATTGTTCAAAACTTGATCCTAGGGCTGAAAAGTGAGTGTTTGTTGGGTTCTCTCCTAAACAGAAAGGGTATAAATGTTATAACCTCACCTCTAAGAAATTCTTTGTGAGTATGGATGTGACCTTTTTTGAGACTCAACCCTATTTCACCAAAAATGCTCTTCAGGGGGAGAGTATTGAGAGGGAAGTCCATTTTTGGGAAGTGTTGGGCTCTTTACCATTGCTGAATGTTTCACCAAACTCTACCTTACCTACTGAATTGGCAGTCCACTTGCTTTGTTGTCTCTTGTTGCAAGCTTGAGTTGGCCATTGGAGCAATTATATGCAAAGAAGGCGTTCTTAAATGGTGATCTAGTTAAAGAAGTGTTTATGAATCTACCACCAGGATTTAAAAATGATAATGGAGCTGGAAAGGTGTTTAAATTGAAGAAATCGCTATATGGTTTGAAACAATCACTCAGAGCATGGTTTGATTGATTCACTAAAGCTATCAAGGGTCATGGATATCGTCAAAGTCAGGTTGATCACATCTTGTTCTACAAACATTCAAGTGATGGTAAGATAGCCATACTTATTGTTTATGTGGATGACATAATCTTGACTGGAGATAATAAAAGAGAATTGGAGGATTTGAAATCTTATCTTGCAAAGGAATTTGAGATAAAAGATCTTGGAGCTTTGAAATACTTCATAGGAATGGAATTTGCCATATCCAAGAGAGTGATAGTTGTCTACAAACCGGTGGAAACACCAATGGAGCCCAATTTAAAGTTGCAGGCAGCAAATGTAGAAAAAGTGGTGAACCGAGAGCAATTCCAAAGGTTGGTTGGAAGACTCATTTATTTTTCACACACTCGGCCAGATATTGCCTTTGCAATGAGTGTAGTGAGTCAATTTATGCACTCACCAGGAGAAGAACACTTTGAGGTAGTTTACCGAATTCTCAAATACCTAAAGGGATCACCGGGAAGAGGTTTGTTGTTTGAAAACCACGGCCATCTAAGGATTGAAGCCTATACCGATGTTGATTGGGCAGGTAGTGTGACAGATAGAAGGTTTACTTCAGGTTACTGTACTTATGTTGGTGGCAACTTGGTTACTTGGAGGAGCAAGAAGCAAACCGTTGTAGCAAAGAGTAGTGCAGAAGCCGAGTTCAGAGCAGTTGCTCATGGAATTTGTGAGCTTTTGTGGCTGAAAAGATTACTTGAAGATCTTAAAATCTCAAGTCCGATGCCTATGAAGCTTTACTGTGATAATAAAGCTGCAATCAATATAGCTCACAATCCTGTCCAACATGATATGACTAAGCATGTGGAAGTTGATCGACATTTTATTAAGGAGAAATTGGAAGAAGTGATATGTATGCTCTATATTCCTATAGGAGAACAGGTAGCAGATATCCTCACTAAAGGATTACCGAAGGGGAAATTTGACAATCTTAAATGCAAGCTGGGAATACAAGATATTTTTCGAGCCAACTTGAGGGGCAGTGTGGAAAGATCTAGGCTGAATTGTTAGGAAATTAGTTAAGGAGGATATTTAGGAATTATCCATAGTTAGATAGTTAATTTTTTAAAATTATATTATAGGAATTATGATATGTATATATCTTTTCCTTAGATAGAATTTGTAATACACTTCTATTTGTATAGGCCTGTAAACTAACATATGTGATATGAAAGAGAATATCAGAATTTATTCTTTTTCACCTTTGTGTTCAATTCACTACTTACATTTACTGCAATTACTGCTTTATTATGAATATATATAATAATATATGTTTAAATATGCATTGTTATATAGACGCGTTTTACTTCGATCAGGCTCGTGCCTTATACTGCACCTTGCGCTTAGGCTCTAGAACACCTTAGTGCGCCTTGAGACTCTAACAACTATGGTTGATAGTGAAGTTGATAAAATAAAAAAAAATTGATGTGGGGTATAAATGGTTTAATCATTGTAGAAACTATAACATCCTGTAATGGTATCCCTTCCTTCCTTGTAATAAAATTTTGAACGACCCTTTCGGAATTGTTAGGAAATTAGTTAGGGAAGAGTTTTAGGAATTATCCATAGTTAGATAGTCGACTTTTTAAAATTATATTATAGGAATTTGACCTGTATATATCTTTTCCATAGATAGAATTTGTAATACACTTCTATATATATAGGCCTGTAAACTAACATATGTGATATGAAAAGAGAATATCAGAATTTATTCCTTTTCACCTTTGTGTTCAGTTCACTACTTACATTTATTGCAATTACTGCTTGATTATGAATATATATAATAATATATGTTTAAATATGCATTGTTATTGTTAAAATATATTGTAGAATATATTATTGCTATATTGTAGAATATATTCTAACCATGTATAGGTTTACTATATATAAATTTACCATCTAGGGTTTAAGTTTCTTGCTCTACACACATCTCGTTACCTATATAAACCCCTATGTATCTTCATATCTTATACACATTAATGCAATACAGAGTTATACTCTCTCTTTTATATTTAACATGGTATCAGAGCCTCTCGATTACTGGTAACAATCTTATCAGTTTATCGTAGTCACTGTCGAGGATGGCACCATCAGCCCCATCCCTAGTGGTCAACCTTTGGCGATCAATCTTCAACTTCTGCATCCTAATCTTTAGTCTCAAGTTCATAATCAGCAAAAGCTTTATTTGGCCGCCCAATTAGCCTCCAAGACACATCAACAGCGGTGCCAGCAGTAGTGCGTCACCTGCCACGACAGTTGCCATGTCAGATACAGTTAGCAGCGGTGCCAACAGTAGTGCCACGTCAGTTGTCATGTCAGACACAATCAGTAATGGTGCCAGCAGTAGTGCCACTTTAGCTGTTAATTGTGTCCCCAACTTCATCATGCGTGAAAACCCATCTTCACCAAATCGCTTCCGCCATGCCGCTTTCAAGATCTCATTTCCAAACTCAAGATGGTTTAATTCAATTCACCTTGATTTTGAGGGGGCTGTTAGAATATATTGTAGAATATATTATTACTATATTGTAGAATATATTCTAACCATTTATAGGTTTACCAAGTATAGATTTACCATATAGGGTTTAGGTTTCTTGCTCTCCACACATCTCGTTACCTATATAAACCTCTATGTATCTTCAAATCTCATACACATCAATGCAATATACAGTTTCTCTCTTTTATATTTAACACAGTTATATAGACGTGTTTTACTTCGATCAGGCTCGCGCCTTATACTGCGCCTTGCGCTTAGGCTCCAGAACGCCTTAGTGCGCCTTAAGACTCTAACAACTATGGTTGATAGTGAAGTTGATTTAAAAAAAAAATTGATGTGGGGTATAAATGGTTTAATCATTGTAGAAACTATAACATCCAGGAATGGTATCCCTTCCTTCCTTGTAAGAAAATTTAGAACGACCTTTTGGAATATCCTACCTGGTCTACTCTTTGTTGCTAGTGAAACGGAGTATTTTAGTAAGTACTTAAAATTTAATGTGGAACCATTTAGCATCATGCCATTTTTTCATTCAGTACATGTCCACTGTTTAGCCTTTTCCTTCTTGGTGGTATTATGCAATTAGTTAATTATGGAATATTTTTAATTTATGAATAATCTTCTTGGATCTACTTTCAAACATTATATTGTAAGAATAATATTTCACTTCATATTTTCATATTACTTATTTGGCCCCTGCAAGTAAAAATTTCTTGGTGCCTGGCTTCTCTCTTTCTCTCTCTCTCTCTCACACACACACATGCATGCATGCACACGCACACACACATCCCATCTTTACTCTTTCAACATGAAGCAATTGAAAACAAACGTAGGTGTGAAGGTTCTTGTCACTTTAACTAAGGGTTCAGAACTTTTCCACATTAATTTTATTCTTCCTGTATCAATCGTAGTTGTCTTTGTTACTTAATTAAGATGGTTTAGTTTGCTGATGCTTTTTTGTTTTTAATTGAAAATAGACTCAACATGTTCCCAAAATAGAGGTACAGAAAGGAGAAGTAAATTTGAGGGGTCTCCAAATATTTTCATTTATGTGAAGTACCATTTGGCGGCTGTGACACTCTTGGGTTGATATTTCTAGAGGTGTTTGATTTTTGAATTTCATGCAACATGGAAATTATTGATAAATTTTTTAAATTCTCTTATTGTTGTCAGCCTTATGCTCTATGTTATGGATCTTCCATACCTACCCTTTTCAAATGCTTTACTACATATAAAATATAATTTATCTATACATTTTTGGGGCTGTTGTTGAGAGAAGATTTTTACTTTTCTTTTTAATGTGAAGCTTTGACCTACTGATTTTCAGTTTCTTATATCATCCATTTATGGGCTTATTTATCTGCTTTTATTTGCATGTAAATTACAAAATTTTTTGTTGTACTAATTGTTGTTAATATTGCTACTTTTTACAAGATAATGATCCATTACGTAATAGGGCGTGGATCTGTATATAACTTGAGATTGTTTTCTTGGCAGGTTCTGAAGAATGGAGTTCGATTGTCGTCAAACCTTTCATGTACATTGGGTCGTCCTTCTTTAGGCAGGGTCATGTTTGTATTTCCTATTCAATGTCAACCTAAAAAGGATCTTGTAAATGAGAATGACAAGCTGCATAGCACAGCATTTAATTGCCTCTCATTATACAAGTGCAAGGAGTTATACTTAGAGCTAGTTTCTTCAGAGAGTGGATTTACAGTGAAGTGTTCTCTGTTTCCTCACAATGATTTTCCTGCCGAAGCAGCCCGTGGTTGAGTTGAAAATGGAAAGGTTTCATCCCCCAAGACACCATTGTTCTCTCAGTCAGGACTTAGTTCACCTAATACTAGTCAACGGTCTTCACCAAGATGTGAAGAATCTGTATCAAATTCACCCAATCCATATGGGATGTCATTGGATTCATTTGATATAAGAGAAGTATTAGGGGATGAAAATGCAAAGAAACTTATACAGACCTGCGCTACTTCATGGTTATACTCGCGTACTCTCCTCTTTGGAAATATTGTAACCATCCCAATACTTTCGAAGCTCTGCATTTTGCAGGTTGTAGCTGTTAATGCAGTTTCAGCAAATAATACTAATCAGGATCTGACGGATGAAAGTAAATTTGATATGTTCTTTCGAGCTCCTGATATAATAGATCATGTGAATGATGCTTTTTTTATAGACCATGAGACAAAAGTGTATATATGCTCACCGCCGCATTCAGCATTGGCAACTCCACATAACAAAGATTCACAATGTGTGGAGCTTGAATGTAAGGATATCAAAGCTAACATGGACCTTTTAAAATTGGGTGGTTTATCTAAAGAATATGCAATTTTGAAGGATATAATTTCCTCATCAGGGAAGTGCACTCTATCAAGGTATGCTACAAAACACCATATTGCCATTGATTACTTGCAACGTTGATCTTGTCAATTACATAGTTTGGTGAATAAAATGAGCAAAGTTATTCTTCCTTCTTTATGTTTATGACTTTTAGGATAGGTGGAACTCATACTATCATAATTGCTCTGTGGGTAATTCAACAATTCCTGAAGTTATATGAAAAGAAATACCGCCATATAGATAGTGTCAATATATAAACTATTACGACAAACGCAACGAATTCAAGAATAAATCAAGGAACACGACAGAATTGTAATTACACCGCACATAAAGAACATAAAGATTTAGCGTGGTTTGACAAAGCCTATATCCATGATGGAGATCAGGCTAAAGTTTTTACTATGCAAAAAATAAGAGATTACAAGTTTCAGCCCTCAAACCCTAGCTCTCGCTCTCACTCTCTTTCTCTGCGATTTTCAGTGTCTCAATCATCCCACTCCAAACCCTAATAAGCGCCCTTATTTATTGGGCTACAAGGGAGTACAAAAAAAAGGGGTTGTTGGGTCGTTGCGACCCGACACCAATTCCGGGCCACAATGGGGTGGAGAGGGAGGAGTGGGGTAGAGAAATCCATTTGCTCACAAAAGGATTGAAGCATTTGGTATATGGAGCTAAAACTTGGGTTTGTATATGGATTAAACGGATGAATCCTTTTCTATAACCATTTACACAAATTGGTTGCTATATGGTTTAAAAAAAGTATCCAAGGGCATTTAAGTGAATAACAAAGGTCATATTAGTGATTTCAGAACTGAAAAGTCGTGTGCCTGGCACGTGATCGCTATCATGTCCATTTCCCTCGACGGCAGGGGCTGAGTAGCAAACTTTTAGGAAAGTTGGGAGTTTCTTTCTAAAACGGTAGTGCAGGGGGTTACTTTTCAAAAAACAAAAATGGTAGTTCAGGGGTTATCTGTAGTTTGCTTATAGTTCAGGAGGTGTTTCTGTAACTTATCCAATTTTTATAAATCATTATTTATTTGTGGATCAGTTGTACAGTAAAGCACTTCAATTTTCAGAATAGTTTCTGTAGGTTATCTGTTATTAAACATGGTTTTTGGAAAAGAAAGCTAGTTGATGTGGCCCTTTGAACATGAACATTAAAATATTGAACCAGACAGATTGATTAGATGCTTTTATGCCATTCGCCCTTGTATTCTCAGTTTAATTTTGATTTTATGTGACTAGCTGCAAGTTAATCAATTTCCTGCTCTGAATTTACAATCCAGTAATTAAATGCATTCAAACAAAAAAACATTTACCTATTGTTTAGCTTATTTAGCATTATATTCTTATTTTTCTTCCTAACTGTATTAGGTTCGGTTTACGGCCTACAAAGGGAGTGCTTCTTCATGGTCCACCTGGCACTGGAAAGACTTCTTTGGCTCGACTATGTGGCCTTGATGCTGGCGTCAACCTATTCTCTGTGAATGGACCCGAAATTGTTAGTCAATATTATGGAGAAAGTGAGCAAGCATTGCATGAGGTCTTCAATTCAGCAAGCCGTGCTGCACCTGCCGTGGTTAGATTTCTTCCCTAGATGGTCCAATATCTAGGAAAATATTCAGTTTCCCTCTTTGAATACTAATTATGCATTTTTTTTAATATATTAATCATTTGGCTGGCAAAATGATACATTAATTTGTTAAATGTAGTGATCTTATTCCAATAGAAGTTTTTGTTTTATTATATGCATGGTTGTTTGACAGAAGTGACAACAATGAACCTTAACCATATAGATCATAATAATTTCTAAGGTGTTGACAATAATTTCTAGACTCACCGAGGAAGATGATCCACTAGTTCTGAGCTTCATTTTGCACAAAGAAACTTGAACTAAAAGAGTTATTATTTATGTTTGTTAGCTTTGATTATAGGGTGCAATGAAAATTGAGGATCAAGATGTACTAAAAAGTGAATGCTTCTGTTTTTCAGGCTCAATTGTTTTATGATGAATTGAAAATCAGAGATCATGTCAATCATAGAATCAAGGTAGGATGGGTTAAATGGAGGAGTGCATCTAGTCTCGTTAAGATTGAAAGGAAAGTTCTATAAAATAGTTATTACACTAGCTGTGACGACCTTTGTGGGCGGGGGTGGTGTGGGCGGGTGCGAGACACTGGGCGAGTTACCGCACTGGCAGGCTACGGGTGTCATGATCCCACACCGACTGGGGAAGGTGAAGGTGAAGTGCTATATGTAGGTTCAACACCCTTTTATGACACAACGCGTTTTAAAGCCGTAATAGTTATGAACTCATGAGAACTCTGCAGTTAAGCGTGCTTATGCAGGAGTAGTACCAGGATGGGTGACCTTCTGGGAAGTCTGGCCCGGGAGAGCCAAAAGCGGACACTATTGTGTTGGGTAGGGTGAGAGTTGTTACATTAGATGTTTTTTACGGGCTTCTGAGGGATGTGTTCCCCTTTTGAACGCTTTTTTATACAAGTACAGTAAGTACTACTTATAGATTATATATATATGAAGTGCGTGTGGTAGAAATGAAAATGTTGAGATGAATGTGTGACAAGACAAGAAAGGATAGATTTAGAAATGGACACATTTGTGAGATAGATGAAGTAGAACAAATTGGAGATAAAATGAGAGAGAATCAATTAAGATTGTTAGGGACACGCCCAACGAAGACCTAAATGCGCCAGTTAGGAAGAGTGATGTGGTCTACATTGAGGATAATGCTAAGGGAAGGGGGAGACAAACATTAACATGGGTAGAGTTAGTAAGGAATGATATGAAACATGTGGTCTCACTGAGATTATGGCTTTAGATAGATCAGAATGGAAAAATAGGATTCATTTGGCAACCCCTTACTATTTGGGAAAAATTCTTTGTTGAATTGAGTTGAACCTTCTATGGATATTATTACATGTGCAGAGTCTCAAATGAATAATAGAGTAACTAATAGAAAAATATCACAGTTCCTCCTTACTTTCTCTTTATCTATTATTTTTGTTTCTTGTTTCAACTGTTGTAAGTAATATTTGATATCTTATGGCAAGAGGAGGCAAAATATGGCTAAAATCTACTAGCCTACATGAAATGCATGCTCATGATGCCTTTTTTTTTTTATTTTGTTTTCTTTGTTTTGGGATATTTCATATGGTAAACCTAATCCCACTCCACTTCTAGTCTTCTTCTTTTTTTTTTTTCTTTTTTTTGTTTTTTTGTTTTTTAGAGGCAACACTGTTATTAATGGGTGAAACGATGTTCAAGCTCTTGGTAAGACTTGAAAGTAGTGTTAGTCTATGCATGTGCTTGAGTTCCATCGGATCAATTTGGTGGGTTGCTTGAGCTGACTTTGAATAATTGGTTTCATTTTGGGTTTAGATATTTGAGTGCACTCTGTGAGTTGTCCAGTTGATTGGTCTCACCTTATAGATGAAAAGGCTTTTATAGATGAAAAGGCTTACTGTCAATCGTAGTCCGTTTTGGGTTTTAGTTACACTGATTTTGTATATTACATTGTCTTGTGTTGACATTTCTTTGCAGGGTTTGGAATGATGACAAAACAGGTTGTACGGATCATGCCAAGGTTTCTAGCTTCTAGTTTTAGTTGCTGAAGTGGAGTAGTTATTTTTATAGATTAGAGAGAGAAGATGGCTGAGTGAGAGAGAGAGAGAGAGAAAGAGAGAGAGAGAGCGCGCGCTCTGATGAAAGAGAGGCGCAGCCCTTTTCTTTTTTTGTTTTTCATTTCATATCAAACCCTTACACACAACACAATATATATATATATATATATATATATATATATATATATAATACAAGAAAGGCCTATTTACATAATGGCCACAAATCCTATGTCTAATTACAATATGATCCCAACATAAATACCTATTTACATATAACTATTCTAACACTCCCCTTCAAGCTGGAGAATATATATCATATAATCTCAACTTGGAACAAATTGCTTTTAACCGATTACGACCAAGAGCCTTGGTAAACATATCAGCTAATTGATCTTCAGACTTCACAAATGGAGTAGAGATGTTCCCGCTCAATATTTTTTCTCGGGTGAAGTGACAGTCAACTTCAATATGCTTGGTTCTTTCATGAAACACTGGATTGGATGCAATATGAACAACTGCTTGGTTATCACAGAACAATGGAATAGGAGTCTTGACTATTAACTCAAGTTCCTCAAGAAAGTGTTGTATCCACATTAACTCACTAGTGGTATGGGCCATTGCCCTGTACTCTGCTTCAGCGCTAAACCGTGCTACCACTGTTTGCTTTTTACTTTTCCATGTAACAAGATTTCCATCAACAAATGTGTAGTAGCCTGTAGGAGAACTCCTATCTGAGGGAGAACCAGCCCAGTTAGCATCTGTGAAACCTTCTACCCTAAGATGTCCATTTGGTTTATATAGCAACCCAAAACTAAGAGCTTGCTTGAGGTATCGGATAATCCGAAGAACTGCATTCCAATGTGGCATCCTAGGAGATCCCATAAATTAACTTATAACACTAACTGCATATGAGATATCCGGTCGAGTGATAGTGAGATAAATTAATTTCCCAACAAGCCGTCGATATCTACCAAGATCATCAAATAGATCACCCTCATCTAACAAGAGTTTTGTATTCGGATCCATAGGAGCATCAATAGGACGACCACCCAACATACCTATTTCTTCTAATAAATCCAACACATATTTTCTTTGAGATAAACTTATACCTTCCTTGAATCTAGTAACTTCAATACCCAAGAAATATCTGAGTTGACCCAAGTCTTTAGTGTGGAACTAATTTTGTAGAAACAACTTCAATTTAACAATACCTTCAGAATCATCACCTGTGATCACAATGTCATCTACATATACCACAAGGAAAATGAAACCAGCTCTAGTGTGCTGGTGAAACACCGAATGGTATATCTGACATCTCTTAAGACCAAATGCTAATGCTGCCGTAGAGAACTTTCTAAACTAAGCCTTTGGAGATTGCTTCAATCCATACAAGGCCTTCCTAAGGCGATAAACGGTATGACGATACTCCCCCTGAGCAACAAACCCAGGTGGTTGCTCCATATAAACTTCTTCAACTAAGTCGCCATGTAAGAAAGCAATTTTCACATCTAATTGAAACAATGGCCAGTTACGATTGGTAGCAATGGAAATAAGGACCCGTATAGAAGAAATCTTTACAACAGGGGAAAAAGTCTCATCATAATCAACACCATAAGTCTGGGTGTACCCCTTTGCAACAAGACGAGCTTTCAAACGCTCAATAGAACCATCGTGGAGATATTTAACAGTGTAGACCCACTTACAACCGTTTGGAACCAGGAGGTAAAGGAACAAGATCCCATGATGAAGAGCATCCATTTCATTGATCATGGCTTGTCGCCAACCAGGATGAGAAAGAGCATCCTGCAAAGTCTTGGGAACAAGTATAGCAGACATTTTGGATAAAAAATAAGATAAAGTGGGTGAAACATGATTATATGAGACAAAGTTAGAAATAGGATGTGCGGTAACACAAGATCGAATACTTTGCGTAAGGCAATAGGAAGATCATAAGTAGCAACAGGGGCCTCAATAGAAGTAGACAATTAAGGGGGGGGGGGGGGGGTGCTACCTTTAATCGTCAACTATACACTTGAAGTGGCGGTGGCACTCGAGGTGGCGATGGCATTGGAGGTGGTCGTGGTGGAACATAGGCGGATGAGTGCGACACAACAGGCAACAGAAGCAACAACTCTTTATCTAAAGACGAACCATGTGAAGAAAAATAAGGAGTGTCCTTAAAGAAGGTAACATCCATGCACACAAAAGCACGACGAGTGCTAGGATCCCAACATTTATAACCCTTTTGAGTTCGAGAGTACCAATAAAGACATACTTAATGGCACGAGGAGACATTTTATCAGTGCCAGGGCGTAAGACGTAAGCAAAGCACACACACCCAAAAACATGCGGCGGTAATGCAAATAACGGCCGGGTAGGGAAAACAAGGGAATAAGGACATTTCCAATTAAGAACAGAAGATGGCATACGATTAATTAAATAACAAGCAGTTAAAACAACATCTCCCCAAAATGCCTTTGGAAGATGCATATGGATCATCAATGCCCGAGCTATTTCAATTAAATGCCTATTTTCCGTTCGGCTACACCATTTTGTTGGGGAGTATAAGAACAAGAAGTTTGGTGCAAAATGCCACGAGAGTCGCAAAAGGTAGAAATAGCACCTTTGACATATTCTATAGCATTATCAGATTGTAAAGTTCGTATAACACAACCAAATTGAACTTCAATTTCTTTTAAAAATAATTGAAATATGAAAAAAAAAGTTCAAAACGGTCTTTCATTAAAAACAACCAAGTCATCCTTGAATAGTCATTAACAAAGGTAACAAAATAAGAAAAACCTGATTGACTAGTTTGACGAGTAGGATCCCAAATGTCCGTATGTACCAATTCAAATAAATAAGACCGACGATTAACAATACGAGGAGGGAAAGACACTCTATGGTGCTTACCTAACTGACAAGACTCACAATTTAAAGTAGACACCGACTCAAGGAAAGGTAATGCAGACTTCAAGTACCGTAACGAGGGATGACCTAACCGATAATGCCACTGGTATACAGACATCTGGGAATGTAAAGCAACAACACTAGTGGAAGGTGTGCAATCTAAATAGTATAGGCCATTTCTGTTAGTGCCCCCACCA